TGCATCTGATGATTCTTCTGATGATGATGGTAAGCTGTCTCGTGAAAATGTGAAGATCATGGCAGATTCACCGCATAGTAAATCTGGGGATTTAAGCTCACATTACGACTTGGAACATGGCAACATGAACTCAAAGAGCAGTAAGACACCTGAAACAGGACTGGATCAGTCTGTCACAACTTGTATTGAGAGTGCTCTGAATAAGGACCGAGATGATTTGCAATCAATTCAAGACGGTCTGCAGGAAAAACCAACTGCAGTTCTGTCCAGAAAATATGCAAGTGATAGCGTAGATGATAGGGTTGAAGGATCCAATCCGAACACTGCATTTCATGGAAAATATGTTTCTTCACTTAAAATGCTGAAAAAGAAGATAAAAAGAGTACCCCTACAGCTGTAAAAGTTGATGAATTTGGCAGACTGGTTAAGGAAGGTGGTAGTGAAAGTGAGTCTGAAGATGCTCACCATATTCGAAGGCGTGGTAGAAGAGATAGGAGTCGTAGCCATAGTCGTAGCCGATCACCATCTGATAGGAGGAGGAAAAGAAGTCCTCGAAGAAGTCCTCGCAGGAGGAAGGAGAGAAGAGGCCGATCTAGAAGGTATATGTCTTGCCTTCTATAAAATGTTGTCGTTTTAGTAGGTAGGCATACTGCAATATGTATATATTTTCATTTTTTATTTATTATTTTGGCCTTGCATGTTTAATTGCCCTTTGCATTTGTACTTTGGGTGCTGTTGGTTCATGAGATTGATCTTTGTATTGTTCCTGATGCATTAGCCGATCTCCAAAGAGACGAAGAAGTAGAAGCAGATCTCCTTACAGACCCGGAGGTGATTTTCGTGGTGAGAAATTGAGACGAGGAAATGTTCAAACACAGGAATGTTTTGAATTTCCTTAAAGGACGGTGTTATCGTGGAGCTTCTTGTCGTTATTTGCATGTTGAGGTAGATAAGAGTGAATACTCCAGACGTTATAACAATAAACAACAGACAGAAAATGTGGGGAGTGTAGATAATCCTGGTAAACATGGTGGAAGTGCCAGCGTGAAATCACCTCATGGACATAATGATACAAAGGGTGAGAGAATGCAGTTGGATTTTGATAAGCATGAAAGTCGTGATTTGGCTTCACAAACATGTGATGATGAGAGAAATAAAGCAGAATTTGTAGATGATGCTGTGCGTCCAGTGCTTCAGATGCCGAAAAATTCAATACAGATGTTAATCAATGTGCTGTTTCTATGAAGGAAGATCAGGTTTTGGCTCATCAAGGTGAACTCATTCCTCAGCTTCCTATATATGAGAAACATCATTATCTAGCATGCCTTCAGCTACCGAGCAAGTGATCCATCTTTCTCAAGCTGCTGGAGCAAATGACAGACTTGAGGAAGAATCCCAAAAGACGGGCAGTTCTCCATTAGGGCTTTCTCTGAATGAGCCTAATCCGGTCAAAATGCCTAATGAATCTACAGTAAATGCTTCTGCGCCAGATTTCACTCATCAGGTTTCCCCTTACCACCACCTCCCGTGCCTCAACAACCAACAAATACACCTCAAGTACCAATCTGTTGGCTCCCTCAAGTTAGTTTTCCTCCTCAATCTGTTTAATATTGAAAGTGGTCCTTATATCAAACTCCATTACCTCAGTCTCATTATCCTGTTCCTCTGAATCCTACATGGAATACCCTGCCGCAACCACGTCCATCACATATGGGTGGTGCATCTATGCCTGTACTCACTTGCAATTTCAGCATGGTAATTTTCCTTTGAGAAATGACTTTCCAGGTCCGATGTCTTTGAGAGGCCACCCAGGTGAACTACCTGGTTTTTCTCAGGCTGGTGGATTTCCACATCATACATATCATTTACCTTCAAACAGCTTTCCAGCTCAGCCATTTTCTGGTCCCAATCTAGCTAGGGATGATATATATTCTCAGTTTCCTACGCAGAGCTTGTACCTTCCAGCTCTTTTGTTTCTGGGGTGACCCCTCAACCTGGGTCATTCCAAGGAGATTTATCTGTAAAGAACGCTCAGTCATTTCCTGTGGAAAATCTTGCGAGTGAATCTTCAAAACAATCTTTCCAGAATCATCTGTTAGCACAGAAACGACCGCCATATGGTCCACATCTTACTGCTGTTGAGAGTAGTGTGTCTTCTCATCTTGGAGGGTCTAAGTCCATGCCTGGATACTCTTCAAGTACACTTGACAAAGATAATCCATCTAGTTTCTTTGATGTAGGAGGATCGAGAATTTCCACCCATTATAATCCATATGCTTCAACTTTTGATCAGCCGTTAAGCACCAGATTCAGTTCTATTGCCTTTACGCAAGAAAGAGGGGATGTTGGTGGTATTAAGTATGATGGACAATCAGCTGGTGATCATGGATCAAGGCAGATTATTTCCTCATCAAATTCTTCTAAGGTCGGGGGACAAACTCTGCCAACTTCAGGTGGAGACCATATGATCCTTTGTTTGACAGCATAAATCCATTTTCAGAATCAATTAAGAATGCTCAAAGCAGGACCATGCAGCTGATAACTCTTATATCATGTTAAAGTTTAGCAGTCGTCACAATGTGTTAGATGTGGAAGAGAACAACAAGCAGAAAGTGGTTGGAGCTGTTCCTGCAACTGTGTCTCTGGAGAACGATGAATTTGGGGAGACAGCTGATGCTGAAGTTGGTGCTGTTGAGAATGGAAGCCCTAGCAGTCCCAATGAAGATGCGGATGTTGCTGAAGGTGGCATTGAGATTGATCAAGTAAAGTCAGAAGGGAGAAGTAAGAAAAATAAGGACTCTAGGTCAATGAACTGTTCAAAGTTGCAGTTGCAAATTTTTGTAAAGGAGGTTCTTAAGCCACAATGGCGGCAGGGTATATGAGCAAGGAAGTTTTTAAGACAATTGTTAAGAAAACTGTTGATAAAGTATCTGGGTCTATGAAAAACCACCGTTTACCCAAATCACAGGCAAAGATAGATCATTATATTGACTCATCACGGAGGAAACTTACGCAACTAGTGGAGGTTAGTTTCTACAGCCATAATTGTATGATATTATCTGGTTGCATAGTTGAGACTTTTCTGCTCTTTATTGGAAAATTCTCTTTGTTGGCTTGCTTGTGAAGACTTGTTTGCACTCTAACCAACCTAGTGTATTAGTTTTTTTTCACCCTTAGTAAATAAACCATTGGGTGCTTAACTTTCCCCCTTTCTCTCTCTCTCTCTCTCTCTCTCTCTCTCTCTCTTTTTTTTTCATTGGATGCTATTAACAACCAATGTTGACCTATCAGATTTGGCTCTTGAGTACATCATATACCCTGGTAGGATTGTTACACTCCAACGTGGTATAGACTAGTTGACTGTAGAAACTTGACAATTAACTTTGGACCAAAAAAGTCAAGGTTTTTGTTTTTTATTTATTTATTTTTTTAAAAAATCTCTTTTTCTTTTCGCTTTCATGGCCTTTTTGTGTAAATATGGATTTAATATTTTAATCTTGTTCCTTTCTCTTCGTTGATGTATTTCTTTATTCGCATTTAGGCATATTATACATTGGTTTGCTTTTAAGATAGACTTATTTTATTATTTGTCTTCTGTTGAAGTCTCCTTAAGCATTGCATGTTACTCTTCAATTTTGCATTTGATCATTGAATTTTGTTGTGCTCAATACACTTTAGTGTGAATTAAACAATAATGTTGTGAGATTGTCAGGTCAACTTTGATTGGTTATGTTAAAGAGCCAACCCTCCCCCCCCCCCCCTTTTTTTTCTGAGAAAGGTTTTTCTTAAATCTGGTATTTCTTACTTTCTAGTGAAATTTGTGTCTTTGTACGAGTCATTTTGTCCAACATGCGGCACTGGTATCAGGTTTGGGTTTGTGGTACCAACTCCATGTTTATAATCTTTTAGAATGTATAATGATACCTAGAAACAAAAACACATACCTAATACACATGTTGGTTGATTAATTGAATACTCAATCTCCTCCTTTCTCTCTCTTTCCTAGTATCTCCCATCTTTCTAATTATCATGTTATGTCTTCTTAAAACTACACGAATAAGTGGTGAAATTACTGTATCAAATCCCATAATGTGGTCAGTTGAGCAAAAATATTGTGAACTGCAAGTGTCAAATAGCAAGAAGTTCAATTAGTTAATGCTAGTTGACCCGAAAATTAAGGCTATAATTAAGTAATAGTGGTAAAATTAGTGGTAATTGAAAGCAATAAAAGGTTATTAGCTGACCAACAAATTTAAGCTGATGACGTAGAATATGCTTGCATGATTACTCAACCTTTTTCTTATGGTTAAAAGTGACTGTCCGAAATTCTCTGCAGTGCAGAAGCCAGCACTTAAACAGTGTGTAGTCCTAGATGGTAAATGTGTGATGAAAAGTAGGGTTTGTTAAGTTAATATCTACTCTTTGCTTGTTGGTTGAGCAGGGTGAAAATTTTGTGAGAGATAAGTGAACTATAGATGAGGGGACCAACTTTAGAGAGAAAGTAAAGAGGAAGAATTATCAGCATCAGATTAACTTTGGGCCTAGTTGATCACTGTCAGTTTAAATTTTTGGTTTTGTGGTATCAGAAGTTCTGTTGTTTTAAGCTAGAATATGAACACAGAAACAGCCAAATTTTTTTTGGAAACTTCCCTTCGTGCTGGAAACATCTTTATTTAGTTTCCTACCACTAGTTTCTATTTTTAAAGTCTGTATCGAAAACTTAAAATAAACAAGCATGCCCTCAAATTGTATCATTCTGAACTGGATGATGGTTCATCGTGAGGCAGAGGTATATATTCCTGTTTTAATTTCTGATTTGAAAGGTCCCTCCTGTGGGTTAGGGAAGCCATACCTTAGAAAAATTGAGAGTTAAATACAAATAAATTTTAAATTATTGAACCAAACCAGTGTGGTCTAGGCGAGGCAATTTTGATGCACACTGAGGTGCACAGAATTTTTCAGAAGTCTTTTTATTGTATATTATATGCGCTTCACTTCAATGAGGCACACTGACTTGTCACTGAGGAGCGCCTTAGGCGCAGGGAATTCGGAAACACCTTGGTGCGCTGTGTGCCTTGAGCCTTTTTGTACATTGAACCAAACACCGTGGATGGGTTATTGACCAACTGCACTTTAAGGCCCTAGGTTGGCTCAAGAAGTCTCTCACCGTGGCACAAGTTTGTTTGATTTGTTACTTCTAAAAATATGACTTATCATTGATCTCTTGGGTGATCCATTGAATCATTGGTGAACCTGTTCCTTTCTTCTGAAGCGGAACATCATTTAGGATCTATAAAATGAACGTGCGGTGAGTCAAGATTGGATCCATAACGACAATTCTATTTTGAATTAGTTCCTTTTTCATCTCCGTCCAGTCTCAAAAGTATTTCTCAGTTTTCCTGTTATTTCCAACCTCTTCATCAGGTTAATTACTAACCCCTTTTTTCTTTTGTTTGGGTTTATGCAGGGTTATGTCGGTAAATACAAGAGTTGATGTCGGCTCCCAATTCCCAGCCATATTTCCAGGCACTGAAGTATAAGCACCCAGATCAATTTAAGTTAACGTCTGGTTTCCCATCAGCTGGATGATTTTATCTGAAATCTCAGAATTTTAAGTTACATATTGGCAAGTACACTTAGTGTGGAGGACATTATTTTGCCAGCCTTGGGCTTACAAATTTTTTCTTAGGGAGCATGAAACCGAGTTCTCGATATTAGGTATATTAAGATCTTTGACAAGGGTTCTTGTCAGAAGATTGTTTAGCTTGTTGATCATGTATATTGTCTAGATTTTCATAAAATTTGGTTAGTGCATTTCTTCTTTCCTGTAAGATGAAGATGTGACCAATCTCTTAGATTTCTGTAATATTAGTGTATTATTGCCCTGATCATCAATCATATATTTGTTTCATGCTTCCATCCTACTACCATCTTAAACTAATTAAGATTTGATAAAATTTAGCATCCATTCATGCTGGATCAAAATGTCAGCCTGATTTTGTTCACGGCTGATCCACATTTGCATACACCTTTTTCACGGAAATTGATTTTGGCGCAGCCTTTATTGATATTGGCACATCTCTATGTGAGAGGAGCATTAAAAACTATGCTCACACAGGGGTGTGCCAAAATCATTTCCCCTTTTTCACCCATGCTCTATTGTAGTATTGGCGCTTAATACAGACATACAATATCTAATGTTATTCATTAGTGGTGAACTTCAGCCATAATGAAGAAATTTCATGGTCAAGTTCATAGTTCGGATTTTTCAATTGAACGCTCAACAGGTCATTGATGGCATCTTTGCCTATTTCTATTGGCTATAATCCTATAACAACGTGAGAGTGTTACAAACCAATAAAAAACGGAGGTACTATCAATAACAATATACTTCTCCCTCCGTCCTATAATTACAGGCAAATAACTCTAAAAAGTACGGTTTTGAAGGACGATGGAAAATGTAGAGGAATATTGTATGAAAAAGATAAAAACTGAAGAATGTTGTATGAGGATAATAAAAAGTAGAGAATATTGTATAGAAAAGTTAAAAAGCAAGTAATGATTGTTTGGGTATGTGTGTAATTTGTATGAAAAAGAGAAAAAGTAAGTAATGGTTTTTTAGGTATGTGTGTAATTTGTATGGAAAAGCTAGAAAGTAAGCAATGATAAGGTGTTATTTTTAGTAATAGGAGGAACATTTTGGGACATCTAAAATAATATATTTTCCTGTAATTATGGGACGGAGGGAGTAAAGGACACTAGCAATGATGCGTGTCATCTCCTGGTGTGTCTTTATTATTATTTTTTTCTTTTTTTAAATTTTAAAAAATAAATCTATTAATTAAGGAAAAAAATCTCTTACAAAAATAATATTATTTTTATTGTTATTCTATATTATTATATAGTAATTATATATTTAAATTAAGTTAAAGGGATTTCACATATCTTTCCTCAAAAAATATTGACAATTATAATCTAAAAAATATAGCGAAATTACATAAGATTAGCTACTTTTGTTTTAGTTATGTCTTAGAAGATACCACTAAGAAATGCAGATATTAAATCAATATCTCATACTTTTCTTCTACATCTTATTAGAATCCATTATGAAACGATATTTAAATACTACTACTATTTAAAATATTGATACTAATACTGTAATAAAATACAACTACATTTTGAAACGATTCTAATAAAATGTTGGTATGTTCTAGAAAGATAGGGTCAAAGTCAAGTGATTCAACTCAAGCACCCAATGTTTCCAAATTAGTCCACCTTCGTACCTTTCTGGCATAAACCTTATATCTCAGAGAGGTCGTATTTCACTTCTTTTATTTATTTATTTATTTATTGAGAAAATCTTCAATAATATGTAGTGCGTAAAAGAAAATATTTTCGCGGAGTTAGTTACATATATAGCTTTAACTCTATCGTATTGAAATGCATAAAAATAATCATACGATCAAATGCATAATTTCTAAGTACATAATAGTTTATTGTCTTTTTCATGATTATGTTTCATTTTACTAAATATTTTTGTAGTATAGTAGTTCACACAATTTTAGACAATTATTTTTACGCTAATTAAAATAGTATTGGTAATACTACTGAAATTACCGTGTATGGCACGGGATCTAACCTATTATATGACTATACGAGTGCCATTAAATTGTTATCACTATTATACCATTAGAACTTTTTTAGAAGGGTTTGTAGTACCTTTTTTAGAAGTGTTGTATTGTCGCTGTTTTAGATTATCATATCATATAACTGATATATAAAGCTAAACTTTTAGCCAGGTTACATGGCAGCGATACTTGACGTTCCAACTTTCGCCAAGTATCGCGCCACGTTGGATAGATTTAAATAGATTTCATACGATAAAAAAGATAGTTTAGAATTCAATTTGGATAGAATTTTAGGATAAAATTGTTAGTTTAGAGTTTTATTTTCGACAAAATACCAATATTTCAGATGTACAAATTGAATTATAATTTTATTTAAAAAATATTAGATTGTAACTAAAAAAAATATCAATATTCTTTAAAGAAAAAATCCAATACTATTATTAGTCACTAGTTTTGTGCCCCGTGCAATGCCCGGGTTGTTTATTACACTATAAGAAAAAATTTTAATCTATATATATCAAATTTTAAAAAATATCATTGATACAAATTAGTTAGGAATTGATGTCTTTTATCACGATTTGTTATCTAATAGGCATGTAATGACTAATAATAATGTTGGTGGAAATGTTCAATTTAATATACTAAAAAAAAGCAAAAAATAAATTAAATGAAATAAATATCCAAAACCCGTTGGATTGATCCGAAACTAAAACTTTGGGCAAGAGTTGAACTTTCTTGACTCATAACCTGAAGTAACCCAATTCGAGATGACTCATGACCCGACCCTAATTGATGAGTCTACATAATAATAAAATTCTATTAGATTGTGAAGTACTCATATTATTTTAGCCGATTAATATATATTATAAATGGATGTTTTACGCTTTGAACTATAATAGAATTATAATCTAATATATTTTTTTAAATTATAATTTAAGTGGTACATCTTAAATATTTTGGTATTTTATCGAAAATAAAACTCTAAACTAACAATTTTATCTTAAAAATTCTATCCAAATAGAATTCTAAACTAACTTTTTTATTTGTAAAGTCTATTTAAGTTTATCCTACGTGGCACAACACTTGGCGAAAAGTTGGAACGCCAAATGTCGCTACCTTGTGATTTGGCTAAAAGTTTAGCTTTATATATTAGTTCCTAACTAATTTGTATCGAAAATTTGGATTATTTTGGGGTTGTGATGAGTTATGAGATTTTGTAGGTTTTTTTTCTACTAGATTATGAAATATTAATCTCTACACAATTTGATTTACAAGTTAGTAATATTCACTTTCATAAAAATTGTTTCAAAATACCTCATTATTGGGCTCATTTTATAGAGCAAAAAAAAATAATAAAAAATAATAATAAAATAAAATAAAATAAAAATAGAGCCGTTGATATTTTTTTTAGAATTATATTTTAAAACTTATGACCATTACAAAAATTACAACGATTATAAATTCAGAATGAATCTTAGCCATTGATTAAATACATGAGTATCACAATCTTCTTGTGCCACATCATCATGAGTAGTCATAAAATCCCATACACTTGTAATATTTTATTGCATAACCAAAGGCAAATAACCGGTTATAGGAATAACCTAGGGCCTGTTCCGATTGATTGAACTCAGCTGAAGTGAACTGAACTGAACTGAATTGTACTGAACTGAACTTATTAATTAGTGATTTTAACTACGGATTAGTGATCTTTGATTATTTATTGATTGTTTATTACTATACATATGTGTATATACAAATGTACACAATAATAATAATAATAATATTATTATTATTATTTATTGATTATTATTATTATTATTATTATTATTTATTGATTATTATTATTAGTATTATTATTTCAATTATTATTGTTATTATTATTATTATTATTATTATTGTTGTTGTTGTTGTTGTTGTCGTCGTCGTCGTCATCGTCATAAGAGCTTAAAAGAATGAAATTTGGCTTTATATCATTAGCAATATCATTAGATGTAAATTAAGAGCTGAACTGAACTAAACTGAATTTCAACGGAAGAGAATAGACCCCTAGTTACTGCAAAATTTCCCCAAGTTTTTCTCTCTGTTTATTTTTTTAGTTTCTCTCCCAATAACCGACCCCAATGGTCAATGGCTGAGCATGCTCTAAGAGGAATTAATATTCTCCTTTTGCTAATAGGATACTTTTAGTCATTTCAACATCAATAAGGATTATACTTCGTATTAAGTACAAAAAAGAAGAGCTAAGAGGATTGTATACGAAGTAATGAAAGTACCTTATTTTACTTTTTTTTTTTTTTAAAAAAAAAAAATAAAAAAATAAAAATAAATGCCGCGCACACCACAATAGGGCACTTTTTATTTGACAGGCACAATAGGGCACTTCAAAAAAAACCGGGAGTAAGAAGAATACTTAAGTAGTTAAGTCGTATCCTTAACCAAAACCTTGTCTCTGTTGTTCCCTTTCAAGCTTTTCTTTCCCCTTTAATGACTGATTGACATCTTCAAAACCCTCAATTACTCCTTTTATCCCTCATTTTATTCATTAATCTCTACTTTTTATTCTCGATTTTCGTCTTCAACTGTTTCGATGATTTGAAGATTCAATTGATTTCGGTACGCTCTTTCTCTCTCTTTATTTGATGGTTATTTTTCAATTCGTTGATGATTTCTGAAATTGGGGGGAAAATTGTGAACTTTTGATTATGTGGTCATGAGATTTTAATTTATTTATTTGATGGTTATTTTCAATTCTAGGTTTATTTTAATTTATTTTAGGTTATGTAATTGCATTTTTGAATTTGCGAATTTTTTAGTTTGATTCATTTATTAGACTTGACTATAACTAAATTACCAATGTTGATTGGGACTACACAGTCCACCCTTGGTAGGGTGGACCGTGCGTTCGATCCTTCCCAACAACAATTAGAAGGAGACTGGAACCTAACCACTCAGAACTGATCCTGAATCCGGATTAGCCGAAAAGGTATAATGAATTGCCGAGCTTGGCGTAGCAAACTAGCTTAAATATATCAATTATATGGAATAGTGGAGCTATAATGAATGCCAAGTTTGGCATAAAAGCTCATAAACTGGCTTAAATATACCTCATTACATGGCATAGCTAAGCTCGTCTTGTGTTTCTACTGTAAATTAAGGTGTAAAACTCCTGATTAGTCCTAGCTGCATGCCTGCATCTGATCTCTGTACATTATACATCAATTCATCTGAAATTCTGAATGGTTATACAAATTTTATTTGTAGTGGCATCATTGACATTTTTAACCGTAT